TGGGAGAGGTGACTGGTTTGGCCGAGAGCATGTTAGTACGTTCAAGTAAATCAAGAACATACCGACGTTGTGTGAGATGAAGACCAGAGATTGTCCGTTTTGCTTCAATCCCCAAGAAGTATGAAAGTTCTTCATGATCTTTAACTGAGAAACGGCTAGCAAGTGTCTGTAGTGTCTCTTGAAGCAGAACATTATCATTGCCCGTACAAGAATGTCGTCCACATAAACTAACATATAGACAAAAGATCTTCCTTTCTTCAAAATAAAAAGAGAGGTGTCTGAAACAGAATTCTGAAATCCCACGGAGAGAAGAAAATTGCGGAGCTCAAGGTACCAAGCTCGTGGTGCCTGTTTAAGGCCATACAAAGCCTTCTTGAGATGACACACATAATCCGGACGATCACCATCTATAAACCCAGGAGGCTGATCCATATACACATCTTCCTTTAAAGTACCTTGTAAGAACGCATTGTTTACGTCTAATTGACGAATAGGCCAGTCTCTGTTTACAGCGACGCCAAGAATCAAACGTATGGTTGTCGATTTGATGACGGGGCTGAAAGTCTCGGAGTAATCAAGTCCTGGTTGTTGATTATATCCTTTCGCGACCAAGCGAGCTTTAAACCTGCGAATCGTACCATCAGGATTATATTTTGTTGTATAAACCCACTTACAGCCTACAATGTTGACTGTTGGAGGTGGTGGTGGAACAAGATCCCAAGTCTGATTAGCCAATTGAGCATTGTACTCTTCTGACATCGCTTTCCTCCACTTCTCATCTTTGAGCGCTTGTGTATGTGTTCGTGGCTCGTGACCAGTAGCTTTGGCAAGAGACATAGCAAGAGTGTACTTCATATTTGGTTTGGAAATTCCCTTTTTAGATCGAGTTTCCATCTGGTGCGTATTAGCCGGATTCATTGGTAGCGACGAAGAAGAAGAAGACGTGTTAGTCTGATTCTGAGATTGGGCCTGAGTGCTTTGTGAAACTAATTGGGCTTGTTGGGCCTGTGTTTCTAAAACATTGTGGCCTTCAGAATCTATATGGGCCGTTGATGAGTTAAGGCCCGTAGAGGATTGTTGATGAGAGGAGTTTGCGGAAGCAAAGTCGTCGTGAACCGAAGTCGACGGAGAGATTGGCCGTGCCGGTGAGTGTGGCTGAGCCGACGACGGAGGACGTGGTGAGGACGGAGCTGACGAGGATGTCGCCTGAGAATGTGATGGTGTTGCCGTTGACTCCGAACCAGACACTTCCAATGGTGAAGGAGCAGAGGTCGAGGGCGAGTCACCGGAGAGTTCTATAAGTGGCGAAGAGGAAACCAGAATGGGAGTGGAAGAAGCAGGTGGAGGTGTTTGGTCGGTGGTGGATGGAATTGTTTTTTGTAAAGATGAGAATGGGAAGACACGTTCATCAAAACAAACATGTCGGGAGACGTATATGCGGTGAGATGTTGGTTCAAGACATAGGTAAGCACTTTGAGTGAGAGAGTATCCAAGAAACACACAAGGAGAAGATTTTGGAGCAAGCTTGTTACAAGAGGGATTACA